GGATAATATTTGCAAGGCAAATGCGGATGGAACCAAACAGAGAGTTCATCACCCCTCTATACTTTGCCCTCGGTTTTACTCAGACAAAGAGCTGGAAGTCAGAGTGTGTTTACTTGGAGGTTGTGCCACATGGACTCTGATTGGGCTGTTCCTCTTGTAACTACTCAATAACGCAACTTCTGAGTATCTCTCCTCAAAATGTCCACATGGGAAAAGTATTTGAGGCAGCAGTTGAATGTGTGTGTTTGGTTCTACACCAGGTTATTTTCTAACCCAATTTATTATTTTCTAACCCAAGAACACAGATACAGCCAAGGGTCCAACTATCCCAATATCCTGGCTTCAGCCACCATCCTAAGTGATCACCAAGGAAGAGCACAAACAAGGAAAACATATGATAATTTTCCCAACTACTCTCCCAGTCACTTTGAGTTTGGAGCATTTCCTCAGTGAAATGTTCTTTCTGTGCACTTAGTAGCCCTCAGCAGACTTCTGCTCCAGGTATTTATCCTGTCTCCCCATGAGTTCTTGTAAAACTTAATCATCCAAAATATCCTTTGCCAACTGGTTTCATGGATCTACCGTGCCCTAACTCAGTTTACAAGGATCTTGCATCAGTTACAAGTGGGACCTTGCCAGTGTCTCATCCCAGTCCAGGCTCCTGCTTTTGCCATATCAGGCTGCTGCAAGAGGCACCTAACAAAGGTTACACCTTGCCTAAAATTTGTACCAGCCTAACTGAACTGGAGGAGTCCCCTCCACAGAAACTCTGGGTTCAGTTCAACACTGCGTTATTTCACTTCACTTCAAAACCCCTCCTAATTGATTAAAGGTGGGTGGAAAGAAGTTCACCAGTGTGCCTAAAACAGTGTAAAGTCACACATAATAGCCTGTCCACACATGGACTTCCCCTGATTAACACCATGTGTGGGCATTCTTACTCCAGAGTCAAAATTCCTTGTTCCTGTTTAGTTTGCCACCACAAGCTGTTTACCAGAAATGAGGCAAATTCAAGTAACTGTTTCAGAAGTATTTCTAGAAGACATCATGACTGGTCATCTGCAGATCTGACAGTAGGTTTTTCCTTGGTTCAGGGTGGGTTTTTTGCACCATATCAATACACGTTTCCAGTATAAATTGGCACTCTCACCTACAGTCAGATGGAGAGGCCTCGAGCCCATGTGATTCCAATTACTGACCCCAGGCTTTGTAGTGAGCTGAGCCATGCAATGCACTTCAGGCTCAGCCCAGAGGTCCTGGGAGTCAATGGAAAAGCAAGGGCTTACGAGAGGGAACATTTTGCATAACCACATTTTTTCTTACATCTGTTTGCAAGGGCCCTGTAATCCTTTTGTGTAGCTTTTAAAACAAACAAATTCTTTAATGAGGATTTTATTTCTACTTCAGAAGACTAAAAATCATTTGCAGAAGCTCAGATTAATGAGCAATGACAGCGTAACAAATCATTGTGCAAGTCATTTCCAAGGGTCTTGTTGAGAGTAGATACACACAAGTAGACTGACAAGGAATTTAGAATTTCTCTATCAAACCCAGCCATCTATGGCAGCAGGTTCACAGCTCTCATTTGGCTACTTAGGAATTCTTGAGATGGCCTGATTAAGCCTATACAAGGACATTAACCTCTGTCTCAGGAACAAAGCTGCCCTGTAGTCCCAGCTGGTGTGCCTCCCAGCTCCTCTGCTTTACTGCAGCTCCCAAATCCTGATTTTTTTTTTTCCTCCACTCATTCAAGCTGAGCAAAAGAGAGGGAAAGGAAATTGCTCCGGCTTCCCTGTTTTCAGGAAGAATTCTGCAAGGAGGAAAATGGTTTCACCTAGAAATGAAATCTAACTGTAGTTCCTAAAGGGAAACTCCTTGGGCCAGATGGCAAAAAATGAAGCTACAGACTGGCTCCTGTAATGGAAATGTGCTGCACTAAAGATGCATAAAAAGGTCTCTTTCCATCTTAACAGGAAGAATCCATCACTGATGGCTACAGATACGCAAGGATTAAGAAGATCCATGTGGATCTTACCATCTCCCACTGTAAATACAGGACCCCGAACCTTACAGTAGGCAAATCCACGGCTATTGGAGTACAAATGACCACTCAGCTCAGCTCCAAACTCCAGGATGTGCATGGGACCACTGACATTCGGCTTCATTCCTGGAGGAAACACTACCTGAATCTTCTCTGAACTAGAATAGAACCTCAGGCCAAAAGACACGTGGCAACAACTTTAAATATTGAAAGTTTAGGAAATCTTTCAGGTTTTAGCATCTTAATATTGGAAATGGATTTTTAAGGTTTAGGGGAACATTCCTGACTATCTTGCTTGCTCTCCTGAACAGTTTCAGTGGGTTTTCTGATTAAACTAGGACACATCTTTTACAATAAAAAAAAACCCTTATCAGAGTTCTCAGAGATGGATTCACAGCAATCTTTGGTTACTTTTGAAACTGGATGCCATTAGTCCAAGCCACTTATGCCAGATGGGAAGCAATACAGAGGCTTGTATCCAAACCAGGGAACCTACCTGGGCTCTGCGTCTCAGATGCCTGAAGACTGCCAGAAGAGGCTTGGCTTATTTTACAGAGCATTCCTTGCACTGCCAGATTACCTTCTGAACATTTTTTCCCCTTTGCATAGATCAGTTAAATATTCCAGACAGGGATTCATAACTCTGAGTCCTTTTCATCAACGTTGCTTCTAAGCATGTTGAGTTTTTGCCCCTTTTGGAGTTTGTATCCATTTTTTAAAGGTTGCCTACATTTTCTTTCCTTTTCTGCCTGATTAAGGAAAATATATAAAGCTATCCTGGACACTCAGAACACACACTGGTTTTCTATTAATATGGATAGGGTCTGCTTCTAAAACAAGGAGGAGTTTATTGGGGCATAAAGGAATGCTTTGATGATCCATGTCATTTCCCTTGTGGCATTGCTTGTAGAATTCAGGAATAACTCAGTCTGACATTCATGGGGCATTTCCTGCCTCTCCTTCTGGAGATGCATCCTCCCAGTCTCTCAGATCTCCCCCTCCCCATAAATTTCCTTTCCCCTTCTAGACTTCCTCATGTCCCTGCAGGGCAGAGCTCCTCTGCTGTGTCAGTAGGCAAGGACCTGAGCCCTAGGCAGGCTGGGATCCTTTGGCTAAGCTGGAGAGCAGTGTGAGCCATGCACACATGGGCTGGAGGGGACAGTGGCATCTGCCTTAGGCTCTGCCTGAGGCCCCCACAAACCCCACAGCAGCAGGGATCAGTGGTTATTTTTGGTTATTTTAGCTGCAATCTCTCAAAGGGTGGCTCCTAAGTTTGGCAATCAGCACCAAGGGTTATTTTCAATGTTCAAACAAAAATCAAATCTCATTATAAAGGAAAAGCCATCAATAAAGTAACTGGCTATTGTGGGAAAAGGCCACTTCCCCTCCTGATAACCTCAGTAAATCTAAGCTCCATCCCTGTCAAGCAAAAATAATATCCAAGTATGCGACCAAATGATTTTTGGGTACTAGAAAACATACAAGTGAATATAAGACAGTGGTACCTGCCAGCTTAAAACCAGCACACGTTTTCTGTGCTTCCTCCCGAGCACTGAAGATCTACTTCCTTCAGTGCTCTTTCTGTACTGTGTTATGAATTTGCTGTAATATTTTACCTATCTTTTTCTGCAGTTCTAACAAAGCAAAAAGCCATCCCACCCATCTGCAAACAGTCCCAGCCTGCCAGAAAACTTTTATTTTACCAGCAGAAACTGTGATCGTGACGCAGTATAATGTAAGCAGACATGGAGAGAATATGACCACTGATAAAGCCCTACAACAAATTCCTGTGTACTGGGTTTGCTCCCTCTCCCCCAGCTCCACAGACAGCCTCTG